CCCCCCCTCATATTCCATGAAGGAGAATTTGAAAGTGGAATATACTGTTAAATGTTTTTCTCACATCCTGCTTGAGTTATTGTAAACTGTTAATGGAAAATATCTTTAATAATCCTAGATGGAGTTTAGAAAAAACAAAGATCCTAATCATAATACTGACCTCAAGTTGTCTCAGATAAGTATAGATGTCTTTCACATATTCACTACAAAGGTTTGGATCAGCTCCATCTTCTGCATCCACATCATTCACTGCAAGAATTACATCAGAGAAAGCCTGACACAGATATTCTTCGGCAGGGGCACAGCCAGACGTTTCCATTGGGCTTGGAGAGGGATTATCAACCTTGAAACAGAGAGACCTTTTGAATCAATAGTAAAGAGGAGCATACAATCTGGGAATAAAAATCAGATTATTGGTTCTAACTAAAGAGATCATTCGCTGAATAGTCATGTAATTCATTTCCTTAAAGAAAAGTATCATCTTTTTATATTTATTAGATTTCTCTTCAGAAAATAATTTATATGAAGTGAAATGCCAAGTTGAGTGAGCCAATTTGAAGTCAGCACAATCTAAATGTGAACAGGTGAAACAGAGAAGCAAATAATTTCACATTCTGGACGTTCCTCCAAAGGAAGTTGATAAGTAACAAATCTCTTTATTAGTGTCCTGTAAGTTACTCCAAATGAATTACACATCAGTCTTTCATCTTTATTTCAAAACATGGGCTGCGTGTCACTGCTCAAGAGAGCACAAATTCTGTCCTGACTACTAATTAACTGACTTCATTAACCATTTCCTTCAAACTCCAGTTACTCCACTGTTCATTCATTGAACACTTTCTTCAAGCCAAGCTCTGTGCTAGGCACTGACTTCATGATGTCCTCAAGGGGCTTTGGATTTAGGAGAAGCAAATGAAATAAGGACAGTTATTCTAGGAACAGTAATTGGGGTGGGGGAAGTATGGTAAAGCTTCAGGAGTTGATATCGGATATATTTTGAAGGCTTAAAAGACTATTAGCTAAAAGAAAGAGAGTGGGAAAGGCATTTTCAACTAGTGTGAAAGCAAAGGCAAGAGTCAGTATAGTATGGGACTTTCAAGGAAACCGCAGGTAGTGTGGCATGACCAATTAAAGACTGTGCATGCTACAGGTTTCATGTGCTATGTCCAGAAGGTCAATATTAAAGCAATAGCCTTCAATCTTATACCCTTAGATATAAGCCAGGCTGAATGACATTTACAGATTTTCCCAACTGGTTTACTAAACTTTTAAAATTAGAGCTTCAGGATGCAGTTCATTGTAATTTCAGCAAAGCAGCCTCTCCCAAATGGCTTGTTCTTCCTTCACAGTAGATACATTTGCTTAATTCTTGGTTTTTGAGGCTGTTAACTAACTCATCTTCTCACCTATTCCCTGAAGAGTTATATTTTCTTTCTGCTTTACACCATTATGTTACAGGCTTATTAATTATTAATTAGTGAGTAAAAAATATATTAAAGAGAACAATTTGTGTTTCAGTCAATAAATTCTGGTCAGAGATGATTTGTACCAAAGACAGCTCAATCTTTGGTCCAGGAAGCTACCACTTAATACCGTGAACAAAGTGATTAAAAGCATAGGTTGTGCCCAGGCCAGTGTACTCAGTGGGTAGAGCTCAGCCCGTGGGCAGAAGGGTCGTGTGTGGGAGGCAACCAATCGATGTCTCTCTTTCACATGGACGCTTCTCTCTTTCTCTCTCCCCCTCTCCCTTCCACTCTCTCTAAAAACATCAATGGAAAAAATATCCTCGGGTGAGGATTTAACAACAAAAAAGCACAGATTGTGAAGCTGCAGGAGCCGGGGCTTGAATCCACTATGTGCCACTGATTAGACATGACTCTAGAACATACTTACCTATAAAGTAGAATACTAGCTAAGAGAGTATAAGATTATGTGAATTAATGCATTTAGTGTTTCACAGAGTACTCTATAAATGCTACTATTATCACTATTCAGATGCTATTCCGTGCATTACAGTAAAATGAGGTTCGGAAAGAAACAATCAACAGACTCGAAAATAGTAAAATAAGTTTACCAAAATAGGCTCAGGAGAAAGTTTTTCTTCTTTCACAGGCTCAGGTTCTGGCTCCGGTGCCGGGTCAGGCACAGGCACAGGCACAGGCACAGGTATGGGCTCCAGTGCCTTTTCCAGAGGTTTTGGTAGCTTTTTAGCAATAACTTTTCCAGCAGCTAAAGTTTTTGCCTCCTGTGGATGAATGGGAGAGAATGGAATGTTTCTCCGTCAGGGTCACAGTTGGAAGGTGGACTTTTACAGATAAGTTGGATCAGGCAGGTAGTTACCTTTTTCAGAGGCAATTTGGCCTGTGGCTGTTCACTGACATTGTTAGCGATGTCTCCAAGCGCTGTTCTTGGCCGCAGTCCGGCCTTGGAGGCTGCAGCAGTGGCCACAGGCACGCGCTTTGCGCCTGCTATACTGATCTTCGCCTTATTTTCAGCATTAATTTTCGTGTTCTGAAAAAAGCAAGACCACGTAGAGAGTTGGCCCAGACAGGTTAGGGTGAGTCGGGGGTTAAGACTAACCAAAAGGGAGGCTCTTAATGAGGGAAGTCGGCTGTGAACCAGGAAACCCGGGTTGCAGGGTCTAGGCTAAGACTGTGACAAGTCAGTTTCCTCCCAGAACCTCTACACCCGCGAATAGGGGGACTGCTCGTTTAGTCCCGGCCGGCCCAGAAATACCACGAATTTACATTTGAAAGGAAATAAAAAAGGTCTCCAATTGCCCGCACCTTCGTTCTCTCCGGGAAGGGAGTTAAGGCAGTCGGTGGGAGCCACACAGGGAACCTCCGTCATCTTTTAGAAAAGGCTTCCCGTCGACCCTCCCCCCCTGCTCCCCCAATATTTATCCAAGGCCCCTCCAGACCTCTGTCCCCTCCTCTCTCCGTCGGTCATACCTCCAAACCGCCCCACCATGCCAGGGGCCCACCGATACCCCTATCCTCCTCCCCAAATCCCGGCCTGGGTGTGCTCCCGCCCGGGGGGCTCCGGCTGGCGAGACCGGGAGAGAACGCGCGGCAAGAAAGGCCGCGTCTGTCGCGCGTCGCAGCAGCTCACCCTGGTGACCCGCAGCGCCATGGCTTCCTCTGCACCAGGCAGCAGCTCAGTCGGGAGAAGCAGGACACGGGACGGCCCGGAGGAGCCGGACCTGAACCCAACACACACCGACAACCGTTCTCCGCACCACGCCCGGCGATGCGGGCCAGGCCTCGGATTTAAACTCCGCACCGCTCCCTCCTCATTGGCCTGTTCGTGGCACTCGCTCCCTTCCCATTGGCGGCTGCCGGTTCCCCGAGAATGCGTTTCCACTGCGATCCCGCGACGGAGTTCGAGAGGGGGCGGGGCCAGAGCGAGGTTGGGGCGGCCCCGGGTCTGGCTCGGCGCCTGCGCGCCGCCTGCTGGAGCCCAGGGCACGGCCGCGAGGCCTGGGAAGGGGGCCAGTGGAGCGGCCGCGGGTTGAGAAGCCGGAGGGGCAGCATGTCTCTAGGCCTGTTTATTGCTCACACTTTAAGTATAATGTATACACGCTCCCCCCTCTCCCCACATATACATGTGGATGGAACCAGAAAGGCTGTGATACGCATTTTTTCATTCGCTCTTTCCAGCTGCACTCCGGAGGAACTGAAGCCCAGAGAAGCTTTAGGTGACTTTCCCAGGATCACAAGTTAGTACCGTGGGGACAAAAATGTAGGTGTTTTGGGGGGTGGGGTGGGGGTGGAATCCGTGATATTTCCACAATGCTAATTGTATCATAAGGATATTGCCAATTTCTTAAGCTGCCAGATTACTTCAAATTGTTTTCCAAAGCCAAACCTTTTGTTTTAGCTTTTTGAAATAATTTCAAATAGGAAAAACTGTAAACAAAAATATTATAAACATACGTATACCCTTTACCCAGATTCAGCTATCTTTAACGTCTTAACCCATTTACTCCATCACTTCCTTCCTCTCTCTATGGATAAACTGTATATAATTTTTCCCCCCAGAAACATTGCAGTTATATATTACGACCTTTTATCCTTTAATTATGCAGTGTGTATATCCTAAGAAAAAGAGATTTTCTGTTTCATATCCATATACAGTTAATAACTTCAAAATTTTACTTTATTATATTTTATTCAACCTAGTTGATAACCCATTTTTGTCAGTTGACCTAGTAATATCCTCTATAGCATTTTCCCTCCTCCAGTACATGATCCAGTCTAAGGTCAGATGTTATGTCTCTGTAGCCTCCTGGAATAGTTCTCACAGCTTTTCTTTGTCTTTTACAACATTTGTTTTTAAAGGATACAGTACCCTCTGCTACTTTTTAAAAATAAAACTTTATTTTGTGTATGGTGGTTTCTTCTGATTTAAATCAAGGTTGTCATTCTTAGCTGTTATACCATGACACAGGTGATAGACATGTTCTTCTTAGGGGATCAACACTGCAGACACATGATGTTCATCTGTCCATCATAAGTGAGATTAAATTTGGCCACTTGGTTAAGATTTTGCCTGATTTCTTCACTGTACATTTACTAGTTTTTTTAAATTGCAACTAATTGTCTGCTAATAAATTTAAGACCATGCTCATCAAATTTCTCCATAGATTTCACATTCCCTCACCATAGCACTTGCTTAGGAACTGTTGAAACTGGTGTTTCATTGCCATAGGCTTCAACTAGCTTGAAGCTGATAAAAAAAAACTTTACCCTGGCTGGTGTGGCTCAGGCATCAAGTGCATGTATCTGGGTTGCAGGTTCGATCTTCGCCCTGGTCTGGGCAAATGCGGGAGGCAACCAATTGATGCTTCTCTCTCTCCCCCCTCCCTCCCTTCCACTCTCTCCAAAAAAATCAATGGAAAAAAATATCCTCAGGTGAGGATTAACCAAAAACAAACAAATTTTGACCCTAGGATGCCAGGCCTTTACCAGATTTAATTGAAGACCCCTCCCTGACCATTGCACAGTGCAAATTCTTTTAATCCAGTAGTTCTCAACCCAGGGACATTTTATCCCACAGGGGACATTTGACAATGTCTGGAGGCATTTTTGATTGTTACAACTGGGAAGATGCTAATGGAATCTAGTGGGCAAAGACCAGAGATGCTGCTAAACATCCTACAATGCACAAGACAGCCCCCACCCCCCAAGAATTCTCCACCCCAAAATGTCAGTGGTTAGAGTGTGAAGCTTAAGATATCATGCTAACTTCATACAACTGTGTATATAGACTCATTTCTATACAGAATGCTAGTTATGCTTAATTAGTATAAGTACCATGGATTACCTCCTTTCTTTATAACACTTAAAAACTTGACTTTTCTCCTCAGTGAACTACTCAGTGTTCTCTCCCTTAGCCAAGTTGATAGTGTCGACAGTACATACCAGGCATTTTTGTAGGTGCTAATAATACAGCTCTGAACAAAATAGACAAGATTCCTGCTCTCATAAAGCTTGTATTTCGGTAGGAGAAGGAGAGACTAAACAAGTAATTAAGTGAAAAAAATCAGCTAGTACTAAGTGGTAGGCAGAGAATGAAAAAAAGTGACACAAACAGAGTGACTTGGTAGCTACTTTAGACAGTGTTCAGGGACAGTCTCAGAAGGTGACATTTAAGCTGAGGCCTAAATGACAAGAACATTCCAGATAGAGAAAATAGCCGGTGAAGACCCAATGACAAGAATGAGCTTGTCACGTTCAGAAAAGCCAGTGTGGCTCGAGTTTGGGGAAGGGGGCAGTGCAGATGAGATGAAATTGGGCAAAATTATACAAGTCCTTGTAAACCAAGGTGTGGCATAATTTATTCTTCAAAAAGATAACCTTAATCACTGTGGAGATTATGTAAGCTAGGAGGAGGAGGGAGGGAAGCAGAGGAAAAAAGTGAAGCCAGGGGAGCCTTGAAGAGGCTGTTATAGGAGGCCAGGCAAAAGGTGATGGCTTGGGTGGTTCTGGCAGTGCTAGGCGGAAAGGCACGGGCTCTAGAAATGGGTCCTGGTGACTTGCATGTTTAGAGAGAAAGGAATAAAGGATGACTCAGGTTTTGTGAGTCATTGAAACACAGAAGACTAAAAGATAAGCAGCTTTTAAGGGGTAGCAGGTTTGGGGTAGGAGATCAAGGTAACTAATGAAATTGAGCAGTAACCAAAACACTAATTCAAAAAGGCATCATTGCAGCATGATTTACAATATCCAAGCTATGGAAGCAACCTAAGTGTCCATCTTCCATCGATAGACAAATGGATATAGTATATGCATTTGTGGATATACCATGTGGTATATATGTACACAAACACAATGGGATATTACTCAGCCATAAAAAAAGAATGAAGTTTTGCGACTTGCAGCAGAGGGTATTATGCTACATAAAATAAGACAAAGACAAATACCATGTGATTCCACATATCTAATAATATATAGCTTCATTATTCTGCTGTGATTACAAAAGTTTAAAGTTTGATCAATTATCATGTAATAGAAATAATAAATCTATATCATAACAAACATAAAGTTTATTCTAAGTGGAAATCATGAGAGCCTAAAATGGTAATGAGTGAAAAAAATACTTGGAAAGAAAGGGAAGGGAGAGAAATGGGAAGGGAGAGAAATCAGTAAGTTTGTTAAGGAGCCACCACCACCTTTCTTGGGGCAAACGAACTATAAACAGGCTTCTGTTTTGGATACTATCTTAAGCTTGTTTGTTCACTTAATATCTAATCCTTAGATGCCAATTTCAATAGAAAAAAAGAGACAAATTAATAAAAGCTACCTCTGAAGTCAAGTTTAAAATATTAACAATTCTTTAACTTTATTCAGCCCTTTTCAACTTTCATTTTCACATACAGTATTTCTTTTGCTCCTCATAACCCTGTGAATTTGAGATTTTATTCTGATTTTATGAATGAGAGGAAAAAAAAAGATACCCAGAGAGGCTGATTTGTCTAAAGTCACATGGTTTGTATGGGCTAGAACCAGTACCCAGGTGCTTTTCAATACTGGAGTTTCCCTACTTTCCATCCGCACCCTCTTAACCTTCAGCCCCTGCCTTCTCTCTGTCACATTAATTCTATTTTTCTGTTGTTTATATGCCCTCTAAGGGAAATAATAATTTTAATAGTGGTGCATTATTCATTGTACCTATCTACTTAAAAATTTTTAATGTACAAAAATTGCATTGAAACACCAATATGCATTTATTTTCCCACTCAAAAAATTTTAATATGTATTGAAGATTCTGGACCAGATAATGTGTAAAGAGAAGACAAGGAATATCCAAATAAGTTATAACAAATTTCTAAACCTCTCACATATTAAAATTAGTAAGACAAAAATATGATTTACAAGTACACATTTGCCATTAGGTTATAGATAAGAAAATAGTACCCATACTAAAATTAATTCATCCTACTTATCAAAATTCCTAGCATAAGAATTAAAATATTCAGGTTCTTATAAATAGGTATTCAAAGTTTCTTTTGGACAACATTCTTTGGTGTTTATAAAACTGCATATATTATTATATATCTATCATACAGTCTTTCCAGACTGTATATTCAGTTTAAATCAGAAATTAAAAAAATATAAATTAGATATATTTATAGAAAATAGTTATAGGGTATTTTGATTTCATGGTGCCAAGTGTTTATAAACAAAATTTCCTTATTAAACTTTAACTACCTATGCTTTTGTATAGGTATTTCTTATGTATCTACCTATTTCTTATGTATCTACATGTACCAAAAATTTTAGAAAATGTACATTTATAGGCAGAAAATTCAACTCTGGGTTGACAATTATTTATGACTCTCTCAACTGGCTATTCCACAACATATGGAGCTAAATGAAAAGATGAAAAGCCTAGCACTGCTTGGGTACCAGCTTGATAAGCAACTAGGAACACCAGATGCATAAGAAGAAATGAAATATTCTACTTCAGAGGCAGAAGGTAAGTGAATGAGTAACATGGACACAACTTAGTATAAATTCTTTACCCTAATAAAGTAATATTCATTTGCAAATATTACCAAAAGTAAAAAAAATTTATTTTACAGAGTGGTTGGTTTTTGTAATACATCAAAAACTGTAGTTATACTTCCCTATTCTCACTGCTTGTCTTTGTATCAGTGGTTGAAGTTTCTCCTAAATAATTTACTTTACATTTAAAGTGGCAATACAGAGTATACTTAATGGATTCAAGTTATAATTAGAAACTAGTTTTATATACAGAAAATTCATAAATATAGAACTTTTATTTTTTTATCCTAGGGCTATGCAAAAAAATTGACTAAAATTTTTCTTTTGGATCTTTGTAATAAACATGTAAATACATTATTTACAATGGAGA